TGATTCAAAAATAAAGTTGAGAGTCTTGTAAATTGCAACAGTTTTACAGGCACATAAAGTAGAAACATGTTTTTCACACACAACAAAGACATTCTCTTGAAGTTTGTAATACCCATTGTTCTTACCTGCTTGTTATGAAGTTGAAATTCTCCAAGCCTCTACTGTTGGTGACTGAAGTGCACTCTTTTTAAAAGTGTGCAATGCCCTGTTTATACTGGAAGACAAACATTTGAATTCCTAAGTAGTCTTAAATGATTGAAAAAAAAATACACTCTGTTCTGAACACATCACTCTCAGGCCTTCGATGATTTTAGTGTGAACATTAAACTTAAGGTCACATCTTTTTCAGAGTAACTTATTCAAACCGCACAGGACACTAGGAAATAATCTTTGTTCAACAGTTGGATCCTTAGAGATTATTCTCTAAACCCTGCACTGGAAAAAATATCCTTCACTTCACCTGTGATCACACACTTTAGTTTTCCAGTGCAAAGGAAGCTGGCAGAGGAATGCCCAAGAAAAGAGAAAACTTTACAGAGTTGATTTGTGGCAAACAAAGTTAGCGTTCATATTTTATCACATTTGAATACTATTTAAATTTATAGTTTTGTATGCCTGAATTTTACTTGTAACAATTGCCTTAAGGTACAACTGTAAGTGCCTTTAATCAACAGTTGTTGTGATTTTGGTCTATATAAATGAAATTAATTTGATTTTAATTCAATTATACTTTGTACAACCAAATCAAATATCTGTAATGCAAAAAAACTGAACAATAGCAAATCTAAACCTCCAACCGGTGCTGACCATCATTTAGTAACATTACTGAATCTATGACTGTTCTGTCACTAGTAAGTTTGTTATCAGTTTGACAGTTACAAAATATATAGTTTAATTAAGCTTACCATTATTTTTAAAGTGCTAGTTCACAGCAACAGTTGTCTCAAAAGTCTTTGTATTGTAATCCTAGTTTATGGTCACAGTGGTTAGACAGTGTTTCTAGCCTCTTTGGGGCTAAATGCAGTAACAGAAAGTTACGGATCATTTAGACCATTGTGCATTTAAGTCTTGCCTGTAGTTTAACTGATGTGTGTCATCTGGCTTCATAGATCAGTACAACCGGGTATAGGCTGCATAGTATTGGAAATGTGTGCAGTGTTTGCACAAGGGAACCAGTTACAGTATGAAAAATATTTATTGTACAAAATAATGAACTTTTTTACAAAAGGATGTCACACATTCCATCACAAAGAAACCTTTAACATTTTTCCCTCTCAACTTATTTAACCAGTTCATTTTCATCTAATTGCTATGAACCGTTTTAATTTATTAGTTTTGGTATATTTCTCAAGTTTTACAAACTTTCAAAGATGTCCTACATCCTGTCAATTACAGACACCTCTAGATAAATGACTGGTACATTTATCACGACTGGGTGTACACCCCATGATGGATTATGAACCTCTGTCATCCACAGCGTTCATGGTACCACTGCTGGCAGCTGGACAGATGTGTTTGACAGCTGGTATTTTCAGTTAGGTTCGGCTTACGATGAAATGTTTAATCATTTACTCAGAAAACCTTGTGTTCTTCTTGTGTGGTACAGATTTTTTAACATGTTTAGACAATCTTAGTCAAGTTCGACCTTTTCGCATTTGTCTGTCCTTTTCTCATTTGTAGGGTGGAACAAGTGTTAACACAGTAGAAAATTCATGAGTTTATGATTTTTATGGTAACAGCTACTGGAAGATGGTCAGATTAGATAAGTATGACTTCTTCAGTCTGGTGAAGTCACTTGGATAAGTGATGAAAGGTTTCTCCCACTAAAAGCGCTACATCCAAATGAAAAGAATCAGCTTTTTGGGATTTGCACCTTATACTTTGTACTTCATGGTAGAAAGTATAACCAAAATTAGACTAACCAAAATTAGACTCAGATGCCACATTAACTGATAAAATAGTACCTATTATTTTGAAATTTGACATTGCCTATAATGAGTATTTTATTTTTGCTTCTCTGGATATATTTTGATACTAATTATGATATATTTAAGTAAAATGTTTAATGTGTTTAGATGTAAAAGTGTCTTTTTAAAGATCTGAAAAAACACTGTTGCTCTAGTTTTCAGTTTCACCACATGATGATGAGGCAGTTGTATGACAGACTTTATATCACCCATTTTTAATTTATGTCTTTCCCATAAAATGACTGGATGTAACTGCGTGAATGACAGTGTCATTGTTTTCCCCTGTGCAAACACTCATCAGCACATTCATGCCTAAAGCCTAAGGCATTTACAGTGAAACTAAACCTACACGCTACATGACTACAATAAATAAGACACAGCTGTCAACTAATAGGCTTAGCTGGATGCTGAGCTCTTCAGTACACATATGATTTGAGAGGCAGGGGGCTCAAATAAATGTGTATTACAGTGCCACCGAGCAAAATCTCTGAAAAACCTTTGGCAACATGCAGGAGGATCTTGAGTTTAAACCCAGTCAGGACTGTTCTGTGTGGAGTGTGCATGTTTTCTCCATGCTTGCGTGGGTTGTGTCCAGGAGATCGGGTTTCTCCCACTTTTGGGGAAAAAAATTCCTATAGGCTTTTGTAAGCTCAGGATACACCCACAAAAGAGACTGATTTCATGAGCTTCACTTCCTGGTTAGATAATGTGACATGTGAAAAGTCATCAGGTCATTGAAAAATGATTCTAAATATATTTTGAAATGTGAAAGGACATCTCTTCCTCATGGACACTTCTGGAAACGTCTCAAACAACACTTAAAAACTCGGTGAAAACAAGATATTTCACTGGAAAGAGGCTAATACAGTAAACTCACACTGCAACTCACCATGATATTTATGTATATGTAGATGCACATGGCTGGAATAAACTTTTTTTTATGTGTTTACCTATATATTATCAAATGACATCTAGTAATAGTAGTCTGTGTACCTGGAGTTAAAGTTGGGATCTGCCTGATAAGACAGATAAGAATAAATGGCAATCAAATTCCATTAATCAATTTTCTTCCAAGGCTGGAGCCTATCCAAACTGTCATAGGGCGAGAGGTGGGGTATACCTTGCACAGGTTGCCAGTCTGCTGCAGGGCTAACACCCAGAGAGACAAGCAACCAGTTGCACTCACATTCACACCTGTAGGCTATTTGGAATGACCACTTAACTATCTGGATGTGTTTGGACTGTGGGAGAAAGTCAGAGTTCCTAGAGAGAACCCACACAGACATGGAAAGAGAGGCCACACAGAGAGGCCAGACGGTATATCAAACTCAGAACCTTCTTCCTGTGAGGCAACAGTCCCACCACACCATTATGCTATGTGAAATCAAAATGATCAAATTCTATAAAAGAAAGATTTTTGAATCAGTGACTAGTTGTGATAGAAATAGCTACTAAACTTTCATGATTTTTTACCATTCATACCTCCAGTCAACACAAGGATATTCAGTGGGTAAACATTTTGAAATGAGGATGAATTTAAGAGTTTTTAACAGCATCAAAAGACAAGTGTTGACTTTTCATGTTTCAATCAAATTTAGGCGTAAAGGCATTCATTTTTAAATACCATGAAAGGCCAGACTCATCCCAGATTTAGCTGAATAAAGAGGGACATAATAAGAGCTCATATGACTGAATAGCCCTTCCTGTTGTTATTACCAGTATAGTAGACATAGTCGACAATGTGGTCTGTGGGGACTTGTTGCTCAGTTATAGCCAGACTACCCTGTTAGCTCACACAGCAGCGCCACACCCTTTCATCCCTCTGTGAACACACAAGTGGGCCAGTAGAACTGGTATTCGGATTAGCTAAGCACTCTAAAAGGATATCACTCAGTGTTTCAGGGAGTGGCCTGAAAATGTGTCCAGCCGCTAGCGGTTTGCCATGGCTTTTGCTCCATTATATGGCATCTGCTGAGTGAGGTCAGGCATGATGAATTTTTAGTTATGAGGAGGTCTCACAGCTGCAACCTTCACAGCATGCCGTAGTTCTGTCCTCTCTCGGAAGTAACAATAGCACTACTGTTCCTAATATTTCCCTGGCAGATTAGATAAACAAGACTCCCACACTGTGGAACATAAATACATTTTGTCTGTTTTATTGAAACTCATAAATATTCAGTGAAACATTCAAATCTAAGAATGAAGAATAAGTCTAATGTTATGATGCTAAATTTGACACATTTATAGTCTATGTACATGGTTTACAGAGGTTTAAAAGCACGATGGATGATATATAAATACATTTTCTGCATCCATTTTTTTCCCTTTTGAGGCATAAAGTAAATTTTAGGCAATCTTATAAGTGTATGAAAATGCCATTTTTATGGCAACACAGGGGTAAGTATTTATTGAGCTTAGGACCAAAACTAATTTATGACGTATCTTTTATAGTAAAATCATAATATATACACAACATTATTGTGGATGTGTGCAACTGTGGCTCAAGGAGGTTAATGGTTGAATGTTTGGTTGAATGATTGTGCACATTCCCCAAATAGCAAGTATATCTTTGGACTGTGTGAGAAAGCTAGTATAACCTGGAGAGAACGGATGCACACGCAAGTTGAGGGAGGACACGCAAACACCACACAAAAGGAACTCAGCCAACAGGTGGATTTGACAACATCCTCTTTCTGCGAGGAGACGGAGCTAACTACTGCATCTGCTGTGTCACCAGTTTTATTCATACATCATTTTAATGCTGATTGCTTTCTATATTGTTCTAATTTCTCATCTATTAAAAAAATAATTACAGGTGTGCCATGTTTTTAACTTAAAATACAAAGTATTGAGTGATGACTACAAGAAATGATCTGAAATTAAGTACAAGTGAAAAGTGGCAGCAAGGTACAAATACTTTAAATACTTTGGGCAGCTTCTGTAAGCTTTTGTGTGTATTTGCTGATTAATGAAGATTTCACTACAGAAAAACAGTAAGGAGGGGAGCGCCTGCCGGGGTGACGTCATTGTGATCCACATCCACGGTAGCAGGAGGGGTGAGGTGGCCAGCCGCTGATCCACCGGTATCATGGCTTCCTAACAGGACGGGGGGAAGTGACTGAGTGGAAAAACAAGGATTTTTGTCTAATGTCCAACTGATCATCGCCCTTTCTAGAACCTGAGATTGGGACAGAGGGGCTCGGCCTCCCTTTTCGCCTCTCACGGCCGCCCCTGAGATCCAGTATATACTTTAATTCTTCTCGTGAATTTCCATTCTTGAACCGTGGAAGATGGCCGACCCGGCGGAGTGCACCATCAAAGTGATGTGCCGTTTTAGGCCCCTGAACAGCTCCGAGGTGACCAGGGGCGACAAGTACATTCCCAAGTTTCAAGGGGAAGATACCGTCATTATCGGGGTGAGTTGATTTGTGTTGCTACCTGTTTGACAGAGCCCTCCGGCACTGGCAGCCGTACGCCATTTTTGTCTTTCGTTGACGGCAGTTAGCACCTTAGCCTGGTAGCTAGCGGCGCTAACCTGCTCACGGTTGCGTTGTTTCGCTGGCCCTCGGCTGGCGCCTCGATTCAGTGGCTCACATATAACGTGCTAAGTCTTCAGCTTTAATTTTATATACAGACTCCGGCAGGATTTAATTCCACGTTTCGGAAACAAAGCCCAGTAGTTGTTGTCATAAAAATGTCACCACTCGCGGTTGCCCTGTCATTGCTAGCGAGCTGTCATTCAACAAAGCCACAAACACAGCGACAGGTTAAAATGTCGTCGGCGGCCGCGCGCTTGCCTGCCAGTCCCATCCCTTACAAACTACAATATTATAACGATATAAATTATTCATAGAGTGTGCATCTGTAACGATAACTCTATTATGAACAGTTTTCGTCAGCATAGGGCTTTGGAGCGTAAGCCAGCTTTGATTTGGTAGTGGCTAGCAGGCTAGGCCAGCTGGTAGTTGACAGATTAGCTGGCCTCGGCTAGCTGGCTAGTATTAATACTGTAGCTTAATCAGAGCTAACATCAGATAGCCGACCAACTGGCTGTTGAACCAACCCTTCTGCAGACCATGCAAGTTTATCAGAGTATTGGATATGAGGGTGGGAATGAGGAAGAGGAAACGTGGACACACAATAACTGGGAGTGGAAATGTCCATTATCATGCAGGCCAGTTGTAGTCTGTTGGACTAAAGTGACTGGACACATTGCAGTGCTATCTTATAAAATCCATGTGTTTTCTTTTCAGGATGTTTAAACTAGAGTTTTTTGTCTTTAGTTTAATTACCCCCCTTGCACTTGATAAGGATAAAAGGCTTTGGAACAGTTACCATCACAACAAAAGAAGGAAATGCCTTGCAGTACCACGTTACCTCCATTTTACTAAACCAACAAAGAACTTGACTTGAGAACCATTTGCAAATAATGTGCACTTGATGCTTTGTCATCGCAGGCCTGTAAAGCATGTCTAGAGCAGGAGCTGTTCACACAACTTGATGCCCTGCCATTGCATGCCTCTACACAAAAGGAAGTTACCCAATCTTTATGTATTTCACAGTTACTTGTAATTAAGAAGCAAACAGCCCTAAACCTGAACTGACATATAAATTTTACAGTGTATGCTCAACAGGTGAAAGGGAGTGGCATATTATTTGAAGAAAACGTGGTTAAATATTAGTTTTTCTTGACGGCAAACTGCCTCACTCTTTGTGGACTTTGCTATCTTTATGATATGATCACCAATGGAAATACAGCTTTAAGAGAGATTACAAGGCAATAGAAACTTGTCGTGAATTTGAGTCACGTCTTCTCGAGTAAAACTACTAATTTAGGTGGTGATTGTAGAGTACAACACAGCCATTCATTTCCTGTCATGCAAAAACAGAGATGACCGTTAGAGCTGTGTGCTGAGTTCTTGAATAGTTTTGCTGACAATGACTTCAGGCCTCCAGCTAATAGCAGGCACACTGTCTGTGCAGCTAAGGCATGATGCGGCCCTGCCCAGTTCAGAGTGCCAGTCATAGTGGCAAAATACCAGTGCAGATTTTGAGAGACGCAAGTGTTGCGAGCCAGAAGCGAATAGTCTCTGTTGGTAAATCTGCTTCGAGAAGTACAGGACCGGCAGCAGCTCAGGGATCCTGTGTAATCCCCTGGTGTTTTTCTCTCCTGGTTACCAGCTGTTGGACCAATCAGAGCAAGTGGGCGCTGGGCAACCACTGCGGGTGGGGAGGGTAATTATTATGGTGATGTATTTTGTTTTGCAGATGCTCTTAGCTCATACTTTATGTCCTTTTTGAAACAATTCAGGGCGTGGACTCTGAGCTGGGACTGATACCTCAGCATCAGTGCCCACACTTCCAGCTGTAAAGAGAAGCAGCTAGACCAGTGCAGACCATTTTGATAGTGCTTAATGCTCCTTTTTAGCTTTGATATTTGCTGATTACCAGCACACTTTGTCTTTTCGGAGGAATTCACGCAATACATCAGAGTTCCCCTGTAGCTCACTTTTAGGTACTCCCAGTCTTTTGGCTTGAAAGCGAGAGGTAGATGAAGTTTCCAGATGAGGTGGTATGGGTGTCGTAACTAGCTTGATTTGCCAAGAAAGCTTTGCCATCCTAGTGTGAGTGTGCAGCAGGTGAATTATTCATGCTTGCTTTCGTTCTCCGTCAGTGGTACACAGAAAGATCAGGTCGTCACCCCCTTCCTTTGCTTTTACGTTTGCTATTTTCATACATTAGCCTCAGATGTCCCTCAAGAACAGCTTTGAGGTACTTTTACAAAGTGTAGTACTGCAAAAGCGTGAAAGATAAATGGGAGGAAAATTATGCAAAAGAGGATATAAAAGGAAATGTTGTATAAAAAATTATATGTACTGTATGTACCGTATGTATATGAGTGCATGTGTGGTGGATAAAGAGCTACACACTAGTTTCTCCTCTTGGAATTGTTTGTTTTTCCCAGTGGGAAATAACTAAACATTATAATAAGATGCTTCTCAAGTGAGCTGCTGGTGGCAGTTGGTGGATAGTTCTGCTCCGGAAATATGGCCATGACATGACCACACCTGGTCCTTCACCTGCTGTTAGAGGAACCTTCCAGCTCACATAGAATTTCCAAGGACAGACGCAAGCTGTAGAGTAAGGTGGCAGCACTGAAGTAGGTCCTACGTCCTAGGACTCCTAGACGGCTAGGTGGTTAGCAGCAACTAAACTCTTAAAACGAGAACTTTTTGATTACACATGTAAATGCTAAAATGAGTCGCTAGTATTGTTGGATGGTCTGCCCAAGTAAGATTGATGTGTTTGGTAGGGTTGTCACAATACTAGAATTTGAAACTCTGTACTGATACCTCGGGAAATATTTGATACCATATTGTTTTCACAAAGGGGAAGATTTTGACCCCACCCTGCAACAACCGAAGTGATGGCAAAGTCATCTCTCGAAAACTTGTTAATTTAACCTGTTAATTTTAATTTTTTCTTTCCCAATTTGAAGTTAGAGTTAATAAAATAAGTATTTAGAAGTTTTTACAGAGTATTTGGATCATTTTATCACAGATCATGAAGGTAAAATATGTTTCAGAACCTAGGCACTGATACCTAGGTCACAAACACCAATAATACTTACTCTCTAAATAATTGAATTATTTTATAAGAAGAACAGTATGAAAAAGTTAAGAATAAACACATAGTTAACGTTCATCGTCTATCTGCAGCAGTGTGGTGTGAAGTTGTGAATCGGCTGGAAGAGGCCACTGTTGGTATCGACACTGTTGCAAAGGTGTATTTTAATTCGATATAAATTTTTAGTATCACTTAATACAGGAGTATTGATATTTATGTATATAATTGTGAAAACCCTAGTATGGAGAAACACAGGATAAAAAAAGTGCTTATGCAACATATAAGATGAGATAAATCAGATATACTGTATTTATCCCAAACCATGGGAACTTACTGTGTTCCAGCAGCCAAAACATTAACCATAACAACAAAAAAATCTAAATAACATAAAAAAGCTAAGTAAAATAAAACTGGACAAAACGGCGAAATCAGGTTAAAAAATATGCAAAAGGAGCAAATTGAAACAGAAATGATATGAAATGGTTTGAAGATTTTCTGTCCTTGTGACAGCAGCACTTAAACAGATGACAGAGAAGATTGAAAGCAGTCAACACCTTTTATTTTTTTCTGCCATATGTAAGAAAAATCCAGATTTGGGGAAAAAACCCCATGGCTGTATCATGCTTCGAATATTAAGATGCATTGGGTGTTGGTAGAATAATCTAATTGTAGCTCTATTGTCTAAGATATAACTTAATACTCCTGATAGAAAACCATCAGGAAGCAAGGGGTGTGACAGAGCACTCATAAATACTCTAACAATACATTTCACTGCAGTTACAATTACAGACAGTAATCCCATTAGACATAAGTGCAGGTAACAATGAGGACTTTAAAGTCAAGCTCTGTTGTTTGCTGACAGCGTCTGGCAGTCCTGATAGTGGCTCAGCACTCTTGTTTTGGGTCAGTTTCCGGGATGTGGCTAACTGGAATGAATTACAAATGTCTTAAGATGCTGCCGGTAGGTATTGCACAGAGCTGTGCTTTAGATGCGACCGTCTGTCAGGAGGGGATTATGAGCCGGTGTGCAAATTGAGGACATCTAAGCACAGCTGCAGTCGTCTGAATGATTCCAACACCGGTAAACAGGCTGTTGCGTTTGCTGCCAGGCTATGAAGTATCTGTGACTTCACCTTGAGTAGTGAATGTGTTTGCTTTTATTCCTGGCCTCAAACTAGTAAGCTAGTAAGTGGAGCCTTCAAGGTGACAGCAGTTGCTTGTCGTCATTTTCATCTTCCTAAACAGGTGTTAACGCTGAATCTGACAGTAACTTACCTGCTGCCATGTCTGTTTTTAACCTGGGCTATCACTAATGAGGCTCTCTTGTGCTCAGACTGTTAACACATCACAGCTACGTCCTCGCCTGTACGGCTGAAGACAAGATGAGAGATCCAAACCTTCAGAGATAGCATGCCATCCCAGCTGAACTTCAGATTTGCTTGTAGCATTAGTTTTATCGCCCTGCAGTTCATCATCTTCTTCCTCATCTTGCACTTCGTCATCTTGCCAGCTATTGATTGCTATCTGACTGAAAGTCTACTTTGAAGTTTTGACTAGCCTGTGGGTCAGAGTGAGATACACTTGGCTTTTTTGAAGCAGGATGGCTCTTAAATTAGCACTAAAAGCTCAGGGTATACTTTAGTTTATTTCAAATGCTGGGAGAGAGATGTGGGATGAGAAAAGCTATATTAGATGGGAAATGCAAGCATTTAGAGGTTAACTAGAGTGCAGCTGACAAAGGATGAATTGGGTGGAGAGTAAAAAAATACAACAGTATAAAAGCCGCCAAGGTTTTAGTTTAGGTTTATTTATTTATTTTTTCCAACATCAGATGACATCCATCCTATTAAAATACATTTCCTGGTATCTTTCAGTTTTCTCTCTTAAAAAAAAAAGAAAAAAAAAAGGAAAATGTGTTTGGGGAAAAAATGCTTTTAAACACTTAACTGATGAAACACACCTAAAGTACAATTAACAGTGTTTCCCCACACGTAGACTTTACAACCATTAATGATTTTACTGGTGAACAATGCTGCCACTCTTTATTTTTAAGGTTCAGTTACTGCTTACCAGCTAGTCCTTCTGGTGTCATGTTCTGCCATTGGCAGGCTGATCAGAACCATGTACTGGCGAGTCTCTTGTGTCACGATCAGGGGTCCACCCTGACATCACCATCTACCATTATGATGGTAGGCCTTATGTTGTAAGCTAGAAGGCCACAAAAAACAGAACTTTTGCAGCAGGTGGAGAGGCAGTTAGTGGGCTGCTCCACTGTGCTGTGAAAGACTGCAGAAGAAGAACTACCGTCACCAAGTGCAGAACATCTGTAGCAAGAAACTGTTTGGATAAGCAGCTGATTACTCATCTGTTATTTATTGTAACAAAGTATTATTTAGTAATCCAAATAAATAATATTGTGTGGTGGGTCCCCATGTCTATCTTTGAGTTACTGTAGATGAATCTATGCTGCTGCTGCTGGACATTTTTTTAAGTTTGTATAACTTACAGCCTGCTGGACAGCTTCCATCAGGAAACACCTATCTGATTCTGGGTGGGAACATGGTCCGTAGTGAATTCCTATTGTGTCTGTTAGTGAAAGAAACTATTGTACACACATCTGTTTACAAAACACAAGTCGGTTTATTTTTCAGAGATTGCAGATTATTGGCTTTCTTTTTTCTTTTTTCTTTTTTTTACTGTCATTAATACTCCTCCTCCTTTTTTTTTTCTTATTTTTTCCCCCTGCAGGGTAAACCTTACATGTTTGACAGAGTGTTTCAGTCAAATACAACACAAGAACAAGTGTACAACGCCTGCGCCCAAAAGATTGTAAAAGGTGAGGGGTCGTTTTTATTTTTGTAATCATTTTATATTTGTTTGTTTACAGGCATTTACACAGCAGATCAGATGAATCTTTGCTTTACTAAGTTCTGAGTTGTTTTGGGTTTTCTTGTAGATGTTCTCGAGGGTTATAATGGGACAATTTTTGCATATGGGCAGACATCATCTGGTAAAACACACACCATGGAGGTAAGGATGGCCTCCAAGTCTTGTCTTCAATAAAATTTTCATTTGACTTTGAGACATTACAGTAATTTGTTCTGTTTTCCCAGGGGAATCTCCATGACACAGATTCAATGGGAATTATCCCCAGGATAGTGCAAGACATCTTCAACTACATCTATTCCATGGACGAAAACCTAGAGTTTCATATCAAAGTAAGAAGACGGGATGCACAATACAGTGATCCAACAGATAAAAAAAGTTTTTTATAAAAAGTGCAGTTTTTACTCCTTAAAACTGAAGTTACATTTTCAGATATATGGTTAAGATCTGAGACTATGAGTGCAAGAGACAAGCTGCTTAGTTCCTTCTTTTTTTGTAGCCTGCGGTTATTCTGTATTTCTTATGCCTGAGACAATATAAGAGACGGAGAAGGGTGATATGCTTTGAACTGCAATGTCATATTTCCTGCTTGACCCACCTCCTTTGAGCTCTGCTCTTATGTTAAAGCCCTTACTGTGAAACTGTACTAAGTACCAGATTTTAACTGTCTGCTGCTGCTGTATTTGAAGTATGTGTGAAGAAATGAATTAAATCATTTAATCAAAAAGATCCAAGAAACAATTACAAACTACACTCTTCAGACCTTCGCACATCTTTCTCTTAGAGTAAGGCAGATCGATGAGTGTGCATCTGGATTGTTTAGTTTGTTCCTTCAGTTTGGCCCTGCATAATGAGATTGTTTATCTGTTTACAGGTTTCATATTTTGAAATCTACTTAGACAAGATCCGGGACCTTTTGGACGGTAAGTGTCAAACATTTCTCATCTCCTCTAATTGTACCAAACTTTGGTAACACATGTCAAAGGAGAAGTCTGTGAAATGGAAATTAATGAGCAGCAGTTAGAAGCACGGTGTGGCAGTTGTTAGCTGTATATGTACAGAATTGCAAATGTAGGTAATTTTGTAAGTGCAACAATGTATAAAAACATCTAAAAACTAAGCATAGGAGCAGGCTGTTTCAAGAGAAATATTTCTTTTGTTTATTTGTATTTTATTTATCCATGCTTACACATTTTGAGTCATATATGTTTACACTATCAAGTACAACTTTATAAAGTGCTCTATGAATAGTGGGATGATGTATACTTTCTTTACCAAGTCACTGGCATCTTGACTCAAGATAGCAGAAATAGAAAGATGACCAAAGGGAGGGGCGGTTTTTAGTTGGTTGCATGAGGATGCAGAGTCAGGACAAGTGATTTTACTGATGCTTACTGAGGTCTAGCAAGCTTGTTAACATGTGAGTTTGTGGCCTTGTTTTACGTATCTTGAATTGCCATCTTCACTGTCTCAGTGAAAATTGCAGGTAAAGGTAAAGAAAGAAACTTGCCATCTTTAATTCAAGATGCACTGTATTATCAAAAATCACTACTACACAAGTCCGTAGCATGCGTGTTATGCTAACAGTACAAGTACACACTATATATTCATATCAAAATGAGCTGCAGAAGCTGATCCTCGGTGTTTTGTTGTGTCAGTTGTGCTGTGCCTTAAATCTCTCACAGTACCAGTTCTTATATTGCCCTACATTGCATAATAAGGTTTTGTTGTCATTTTTTAATAAACTACGTGTTTTATTATTAATTGTAAAAAAGTTACAGGTCGTCATATTTCTTGCTGATTGGGTTTTTCTGGCTTTGTTTGTTGTAAACGATCTAAAAGGAAATGGTTTAGAAGTCCAAGACAGTGAAGATAGATGTAGAAATGGCAGAAGACTGAACACACATGAAGATATGAATAATAAAACTTTCTGGTCGGATAAAGGGCCTTTATATGGCCAGTGCAGGAACAGCGAGTATAATGGGTCCATAAGTTTCAATACATCTACAAGTCTCGCCACTTGGCAGCATTGTGAAATGCCACAGGGCACTAATTTAGACAGTAATTTTGAAATGTTATCTAAATTTAATTTAATTTGACTGGTCACTGGAATGTACATATACAGAGAAACTAGTCAAATATTGACAAAACAAAAAGCACTTGTTTGCTGTTTTATGGTTTTAAAGGCTTTTTCCCTGCCATTTCTGTTGCATCTATAGATTTCATTTCAGGATTCTTTCTAATGTCATGGCTTTGTCTTTTATAATGCCTTTGAATTAAATGTTTATAGTTCAAAATTAGTTTGTAAGGCTGATTTATTCCAATTTACTTCCAGTGTCAAAGACCAATTTGTCAGTGCACGAAGACAAAAACAGAGTACCTTATGTCAAGGTGAGACCTACTCATATATATCAGATTTCAACAAACTGGTAAAACCTGCTGGAAAGAGAAGACCAAGAGTCTAACCTCATGTTTTCCTTTTGTAAAGGGCTGCACTGAGAGATTTGTCTGCAGCCCAGAGGAGGTCATGGATACAATTGATGAAGGAAAAGCTAACAGACATGTAGCAGTTACAAGTAAGATACCACCCTCTGTCATGAATCTATTTACTGTAGATTTTGTATTTTATAGGCTGATGATGTCTGACCCAATGTCGCCTCTCCCTCAGACATGAACGAGCACAGCTCCAGGAGTCACAGTATTTTCCTGATCAACGTTAAACAGGAGAATACTCAAACAGAGCAGAAGCTCAGTGGAAAGCTCTACCTGGTAGATCTGGCTGGTAGTGAAAAGGTAAGCTGGAACATTTGTTACATATTGGCCTCAGTGGTATTTATTCTGCTCTAGCAGTAACTTAGTGATAAATTATTGTAATATAAATTGTTCCTTTGTTTTTTTTGTGTTTTTTTTTCATGTAGTGGCAAATAATTCAGGCTACAATCCATTCTTTTTGTTGACTATTGAACTTTATTTATTCTGTGATTCTCAGGTCAGTAAAACAGGTGCTGAGGGAGCAGTGCTGGATGAAGCCAAGAACATCAACAAGTCCCTGTCATCCCTGGGAAATGTCATCTCTGCATTGGCTGAAGGAACGGTCAGTACTACTTTGTTATAGATTTTAGACTCTTACTGTGATTCAGCAGTGTAAAACAAAGGAGTATTTTTTTTTCTTCCATTTAAACTTGAACGTCCCACCATCCTAACACGTGCAAATGCAGCTGATGTCAAAGAATGTAGTAGTCACCTCACAAATTACTGAAGAACTACAAACTTGCAAAAACTACCTAAAAAAACAAAGCATTTGAGGCATTTACTAAAAGTTCCCTTGTGGCCCTCAATCATATACCGGCTCCCTAAATGCTATGAAAAGCCCCGCTTTTAAGAATGCTTCAAATGTGTGCCAATTTCTCCTTTTTAAGAGGTCTGTTTATGAGTATTTTTTGATAGTGTCTAGGATTTTTATTATTTATTTTGGATGAATAATTATCCATTTGGTAAAGGTGTTTTATATTTGAGGTCTGTCTTTGGTTCAAAACATTATGAAAAATAATTTGGTTTTCACAGCATAATGTGGTGTATTCAGCATAATAAGCATTAAATCTGTTATAACCTCAGGCTATGCTCTTTTGCCTCATGCTTCTGTTGCATTTTGAAGCAGACAGGCATTACTGTTATTGTAGTAAACAGAAGCAAAGTCGGTACAGACCAGCTGCACAACCCCAGGCTTGGTGTGCTTGTTGAAAAACCACAGTCCTTTTCTGTGGTCTTGATGTGAAAGTAACATTTTCAGCCTTCTACAGGTTCTTTGTGCTGCAGTAACACTTACGCAGATTAAAAAAAAAAAAAAGCAAAAACATTTCTCCCAGCAATTTTCATTCTGATTTCACCCTTTTCATTTTGATCAACGATTGGTCTGATGTAGAGACTCTTGGCTTTGTAAACAACCTGAGGCGGGCAGTGGTGTAAAACAAATGAGCTATTGTCCACAGATGTCTTGCTTACCGTTACTGTGTGTAGGAGTGTGATGTATAGGAGGCCGTTTCAGCTTAGCCATTTGGATAAATGTGAATCATATATCAAGTTATTATTTAAATGTCCGTTTTTTCTAAACTTGTGAGACCTGTAATATAGGCGGATAAAGGTTTTTAACCCTCAGCTGTAAAAGGCTGATGGGGTATTGTCGTCAACAGCGATGCCTCTAGCCTAAACCATGCCTCATGACCAAAAAAATATACCCAACTTGTCCACATTTCAAGCATTCAATATGTCTTTTAGTGGTTAGCTTTGTCATTGCTAACCATTAAAAGACATATTGACATCCAGTTGATTCTTTTAAAAATAACCTATCAAAACCAAGTGGTAGAAGTTGCTCAGGCAGGTCAAGTTAATGTCAGTGCTGGTTCCAGAACAATATAAGGACTCAAAATGCCCTACCAAATGGTTGAGCAGAACATTAAAGGGTTGATGTTTTATTCAATATGACTCAAACCGACTCACTGCCTCGGCTAAATGGAGAGGGGATTTCAGAAGGGCCAGGGCACAGGCATGGACCTATTTCAGCTGTAAGGGAGGCAAGAGCAAGGTGATTTGAGTGACTGAGCCCAGAAACTTGTAGGATTGGTCGCGATCTTTGTGTGTGATGAGATCAGGCAGGAAGAAAAGAGGAAGACCTGAGAGGTTTGGTGTGACAGACGAGAGTGTTAGGGATAGGCTGAGTAAGTAGGTGATCTACTGTGGCCATACCTAATAAGAGAGGGGCCGAAAGAATAAGAAATTTTACCTAGTTAGTATTGTTAATATACGCTGTAAATTTGTAGGTAAATCATATTGAAAAAAGCTGACTTCCAGGCCTTTTAATGTTTCTTCACTTTTTATTGGTTGTTTAATTTCTGGTAAATATATTAATTGACTGCGCCTGTCCTTCAAAAGTGTCCTCTGTCAAAAAGGAGGTTGAGTATCTCTGTTGACAATGCCACCTTCTCTGAGAACCTGATGCATGTCTTATCCTGTCACTGATATTAGTCACTAATGTCAGTGACTACACATGTGCTGTGGTTTAAAAAAAAAAAAAGCTTTTCTTTTTCTCTAAAGCTTTTATTTATTAATTTTATTTCAGGGAATTGAGCTATATGTGATGACTATAAAACATTTAGTTATTATTAATCCTAATTTCATATTTATGGGATTAATTGCAGAGCTGATGTTTTACTTGTGTTTGAATACAAGTGTGCTTTTCTGTCATTGAATTTTATGTTTTTTGTTGCCCATTTCAAGGCTTACATCCCTTACCGAGACAGCAAGATGACCCGTATCCTGCAGGACTCGCTGGGCGGTAACTGTCGAACCACCATTGTCATCTGCTGCTCACCTTCCTCCTTTAATGAGGCTGAAACCAAAACCACCCTAATGTTCGGGCAGAGGTCAGTAGGCTGATGGAAAATTTTCAACTGTGTTGGTTTTGTCAAAACAAATCAGCTTCATGTCCCACTTTGACATTACAGAAAATGTTTTCATATAAATTAAGCAACTACATTAGAAAATGTAATTATAAATATCAGATTTACAACAAAGCAGAATATAAAGTTATAAAAAAAATACTTGTTAAGTCCCAGATGGTGCATTTATGTGCTATTTTCCTTGTAATGAATAATGATGCATGAGGTTTTTCTCTGGTGGAAAACAAAAATGTATTTCTTCATAATCCAGAGCAAAGACCATCAAGAACACAGTGACAGTGAACATTGAGCTGACAGCAGAGCAGTGGAAGCAGAAGTATGAGAGAGAGAAGGAGAAGAACAAGACCCTGAGGAACACCATCACGTGGCTGGAGAATGAGCTGAACCGCTGGAGAAATGGTGAGGCTGTCTTCTAATCCTTTCTCAGTGCCGTTTATGTGCGCATGAAAGAAACAACTCTTCTTCCATCTACTGAACACACGTTTTCCTGCTGCTCCTCAGGTGAGAGCGTGCCAGTGGAGGAGCAGTTTGATAAGGAGAAAGCCAACGCCGAGGTGCTGGCCCTGGATAATGTTATAAACGAAAAGGCGGCCTCAACGCCCAACGTGCCCGGCGTTCGGCTCACTGACGTGGAGAAGGACAAGTGTGAAGCAGAGCTGGCCAAACTCTATAAACAGCTGGATGATAAGGTGCGTTTGTCAACCTGTGTGTGACAGGTTTTAAACAATTACTACTTAGTAAATGTGAAAATGCGACAACAGTTAAGTTATACCAGTAACTAAAGATTGATTCCCGTCAGACTTTATTCTGCTTCCTTTTCATTGGGAAGTAGAAGTCTGTGTCTTCTTTTGAAAATCTTCAGTTATTAAATGAGAAAAATGTTCCTTTAATCATCCAGACCATTCTTTGTTTAACCAGTGGTCTTTCACCTTGTAATTGTCTACTTGTGGTGTTTGGCCTGGCGTAAATGCTGATGTTGCTGTCTGTCTTTACCCTTTACAGGATGAGGAAATCAACCAGCAGAGCCAGCTGGCTGAGAAGCTGAAGCAACAGATGCTGGACCAGGAGGAGGTGAGTACTGGAGGTCTAACAGGTGGCGTGGAGGCACAGATGCAGAGTGAACTCGTGATCTTTGTAGCTTCACAGGAGCGAGGAAAAACGTGAAGCTGTCACATCACTATGAAAAATGTTTTTATTGGACTTAAAATGCAGTCAGCTTTCCTTATTGTTGCAATGACACGTTTAAAAGAATAAAACAAAGTTAAGCTGCTTTTCCTTCATCCAGCTTCTAGCCTCTTCCCGCCGTGATCATGAGAACCTCCAGACAGAGCTGAACCGCCTCCAGGCGGAAAACGAAGCCTCAAAGGAGGAGGTGAAGGAGGTGCTGCAGGCTCTGGAAGAGCTGGCTGTCAATTATGACCAGAAGAGCCAAGAGGTGGAGGATAAAACCAAGGAGTTTGAGACCATCAGCGAGGAGCTCAGCCAGAAATCGGTGAGCCCGGAACAGATATCAGCATGCTCATAGACTCAGTGATACTTTAATTTCATTCAGGTGCCTTTTACGTGTCCTTTATAGTGGCCATGTTAATATGCAACACACAGACACAGCGCTATAATTAAAGCCTTTAAAACCTGCGGGGATTAAAAACTAGAACTGACACATTCACCCGGCAAACATGTGCATATTAATTGGTGCTGCAGAACCTTTATTTCTGTAAGTAACTGAACCATGTTCCATAAAGTGGAGAAGTACTTGGCAGATTGACTAAATGCCTTCATTCTTATTACGTGCCTCAAGGCAAAAACATTAATTTATGATTTTACAAAGGTAATTACACCCTCAAATAAGTCTCAATGCCTGTTTACAAGAACGTATTGAAAAAGCAGCAGAGGAGTGAGGGAGCAATGCCAGTAGTAGTAGTAGTAGCCTTTTGCCACATAAGTTGTCGTGTGCAGGGTCAGAGAATGTGGAGGAAACTTTAATTGGCATGCATTGATCCAGTTTTTTCCGCTTGCGGACTGGAAATCATTCTTGTCTGTACAGCAGAATCCGTCTGGATATTGCTTCCCTGACCTTTTTTTTTTTTTTTTTTTTTTTAAAATCTAACAGACACATATAAAAAATAACATAAGTTTATGGAATTTATATCTATCAGTATGCTAATTAGATCAAAATGCATAGAATAAATAACATAAACATAAATAACATGCTTCTCTCATTTTAGCTCAGTGTGAGCGTCAGTAGGTCACTAGTTGCTGTTATTAATTATAGGTTCACCTGCTCACATACAGCTGAAATAATATTAATTGCACAAGTTTTACTTGCAAGTGCAATAAAATATTCCCAGCATGTGCTATACTTGAACACAGTGATAGAGAGATGCCGGACAGGGAAAGATGAACACGCATGCACCAGTACACCGGTTGTATTGTTGTATTATAGAGAATAGCACTGAATTAAATTCAAATATTGGTAAGAAGCAAGAGGGACAGCTCAGGCTGAAGAGCTTGGAGACAGTTGTGAATATATTGGACAAAGGAATATTGAAGATGGAGCAGATAGGAAGGAGGAAAAGAGGAAGACCACAGAATGTATAGATGTAGTGAAGGAGGAAGTGCAGATGGTTGGTGTTGGGCTGGGATAGGGTGAGATGGAAGTCGTTTATCTGCAGTGACCCCTAAAAGGGATCAGCCAAGAGAAGAAAAGGAGGAGCAGTGACAGCGTTAGTGCTGAATAGTTCAATAGCAGTTAACTTTGTATTAATACTTTCTCTTTTCTTGCAGTCCATCCTGTCATCTCTGGACTCTGAGCTTCAGAAGCTGAAGGAGATGTCCAACCACCAGAAGAAGAGGGTGACTGAGATGATGTCATCACTGCTTAAAGACCTAACTGAGATTGGCATCGCTGTAGGCAGCAATGACATTAAGGTACTGAGCTGATTTCTGCACTTTCTGGTTCAGCTTCTATCCATCTTTTCCAGTTTTTGTTCCTCTTTTTCTCATTTCTTTTCCCACTATGTGGTCTTAACGTCGTTTTTTCATTTCAGCAACATGACGGTGGCAGTGGTCTGATTGATGAGGAGTTTACAGTGGCCCGTCTGTACATCAGCAAGATGAAGTCAGAAGTGAAGACGATGGTGAAACGCTGCAAGCAGCTAGAGGGAACCCAGGCAGAAAGCAACAAGAAGATGGATGAGAACGAGAAGGAACTGGCTGCCTGCCAGCTGCGCATCTCCCAGGTATGTGGAAACGAACCAAAAACGGCACAGTGAATCACGGCTTTCACTGGCACCTATGTATTTACATGTGCCTCTTTCCTCTGTCCAAAGCATGAGGCTAAAATCAAGTCCTTGACTGAGTACCTGCAAAATGTGGAGCAGAAGAAGAGGCAGTTGGAGGAAAATGTGGATGCTCTCAATGAGGAACTTGTCAAGCTCAATGCTCAAGGTACGTCACTCTATGAGGGAAGGGCAGGAATTAAAGCACCGACACTGGAACTCACTCAAAGTCTGCTTTAACCTCCTAAGACCTGAACTCTTCCACGGCATGGATTTTTAATTTCTCTTTGATATTTGGTCATATTGGGGCCCGATGAATGTAAAAACAAAGAATTAACAGATTTATTTTTTTTACCTTATTTTTGTTTTTAAGAAAAATAAGAGCCGGATATGAGGACAGTATAATGTCCTTGTAAGTGGATATCAGGCCCTTGTAGAGCAAAATTCAGTATTTTGGTCTAAATAACCCAAAATGTGATGTCCACATATGTGGACGCCAGGTCCTAGGAGGTTAAGACGACGTGCAGTCTAGCAGAAATAAACAAGCTTTCACGGCTGGTTAAACTCAGTGCGGTTTCCTACAGAAAATAATGAGTTTACTTTGAGGATCTTTTGTACAATGCATTCAGCACTTTGTCCTTTTGATGTCAGTGAATAATGGGGAATTGTTTTCTGTTATGCAGAGAAAGTCCATGCTATGGAGAAAGAGAACGAGATCCAGACTGCCAATGAAGTCAAGGTGTGTTCCTCATTCCCAATAAACAGGATGTTAAAAAACAAACAAACATCAGTTTTATTTTAGGGAAGTATTTTATTATTGACAGGAAAATTACACACTCACGTATTTTATTTTTAATTTCTGTTTCTTAATTTTATTGTCTTATTTCTGTGTTGGTGTGTGTTTTTACCTTTATTGGGCTGGCTGTTTCACATCAGCTGATGACGGCCAGAAGAGACATTAAGAACAAGTGGTCCTTTGAGTCTCATTTTGTCCTGCCATATAATAGTGTGAGATCAATTGTGGGTACATAAAATGCTACATAAAATGTTCTCAGTGGCGGCCTTTGGCTGACTATTGTTACTAAAATATGTCACTCCCATGCTAATGCTAAATGTCATCCTGGTAATTTTTTGTATCCCATTATCATTTTGCTTGTTTATTAGTCAGTGAAACTTTCCTTTGAATCTGATTATCTGTTTATGTCTGTGTTCAGGAAGCAGTGGAGAAGCAGATCCACTCCCATCGTGAAGCTCATCAGAAACAGATCAGCAGCCTGAGAGACGAGCTGGACAACAAGGAGAAGCTCATCACCGAGCTGCAGGAGTAAGGCTTTACAATGTCCGGCTGCCTTTGTCGTCAGTCTTTGTCTGTGCACATAGATGCAGTAGTGGGACATGGAAACCCACAGTCGAACAAATATTTATGCAAAGTTTAAGTGAAACTGCATGGAGGTTCATGAGAAGAGTAGAAAAAGTGCACTCAGGACTTGGATATGTTGACTGAGACATACTGATTATGATTTTATTTTGCTTCTTCTAGTCTGAATCAGAAGATCATGCTGGAGCAGGAGAGACTCAGAGTGGAGCATGAGAAGCTCAAATCCACCGATCAGGAGAAGAGCCGCAAGCTGCACGAGCTCACGTATGTTTACTGTCCACTGGCTGCCATTTTCTGTTTGTTTTTCTCTTCACTTTCAAGATGCAACAAAAAACAACTCTGTCAACGCACAGTTTTGTTATAGTTTTTTAGAATTTCATATGTGATGTATTATTGTTCTTTTGTTCTTCTTCAGGGTGATGCAGGACAGGAGGGAGCAGGCCAGACAGGACCTGAAGGGTCTGGAAGAGACAGTGGTGAGTTCATTGAAATTGACTGATAAATGAAGTACACGGGTTTGAACAGTCTGACCAGGTGTCTTTGACTACTCAGCTTAGTATTCTTTTTAATCCCAGGAGAAGGATGCCATCTGCTTTTATATTTAACTCCCTTGATCTTATTTTGAAACTTTGGCAGTCTAGTCCCCGTTTCCTCTTCCACTGGCTCGCTGTAGTGGTCGTCATTGTTATTCTGTTTTACCAAAGTCCAACTCACAGTGTTGGACTGCAGCACTCGGTAGTCTTTGTTCAGCTCTGGAAGTCCTCTGAAAGCTAGTGCGCCACTCTAATCAGAACATACAACAGATGGAGAGCTGTGCTTTGCTGAGGTCTCTCCGAGGCTGAGGAGCAGAAGCCTGTGTCCAGTCCACAGTCCAGTACTGTGGAGTTGAAGATGACTTGTGGTGCAGAAGAAACATTGGGCAGCCGATTCTATTACTGCATGATTAATTTATCACAAAATGCTCTGCTGTTAAAATATTTTGAGAGGAGCATGTTATGAACAGCATTATTTGGCATGCTTGTGTCTTACTTTTGCATACATACACACTACCATTAAAAATGGGATTCACCTTTGTAGGAAACACGCTGTGTTTGTTTCATTATTCCTGCAAATGAGTTTAGAATACACTTTTCTGTTTTTATTTCAGGCTAAAGAGCTGCAGACTCTGCACAACCTGAGGAAACTCTTTGTCCAGGACCTGGCCACCCGAGTAAAGAAGGTGAGCATTCACAGGATGACGGGCAGCTGACCAAGAAATATTTATGTCTGTAGAGAAGAACTTTGAGTTTAAAAAGAGAGAGAGCACACCAAAAATCACATGCAGCAATAAACAAGGATGTGGTGACAGATGGGAGGCGTGTATATTAATCTCTGTTCATGAGTCACATCTGTATGTTTTTTTTATTTTGTGCAGAGCGCTGAGATGGACTCAGATGACACAGGTGGGAGTGCAGCTCAGAAACAGAAAATTTCCTTTCTTGAGAACAATCTTGAACAGCTCACCAAGGTTCACAAACAGGTACAAGACAGATGTGCACACCAACGTTTTTCTTTTGTTTTTGTTTTGTTTTTTTTGTTCATGCCATATTTTTGTTTGCCTGTTGTAGCGCAACTCATCTTCCCTTGTTGGCACTTATGTGTGAAGCTAAAATGACTAAATGATTTCCACGTTTTCACGCAAATTGTCCCACAGCTGGTGCGTGATAATGCAGACCTGCGCTGTGAGCTTCCTAAACTGGAAAAGCGTCTTCGAGCTACGGCTGAGCGGGTCAAGGCCTTGGAGTCTGCTTTGAAGGAAGCCAAGGAGAACGCCGCCCGCGATCGCAAGCGCTACCAGCAGGAAGTGGACCGCATCAAAGAGGCCGTCAGAGCCAAGAACATGGCCAGGAGGGGACATTCAGCCCAGATTGGTTAGTAGGAATGAACAGGGCGAGGAACACCCCTCACCATTCTTCCTTTTAATTACGACAGAAAGTCAACATTTTAATTTGATGGTGGCTCAAAGGAGAACATCGTGTTGCTGTTTTGCAGAAGATTTTGCTAACCTGTATATGAATATCGTTTAAATAGAAAGCTGAATTTACTTTGGGAAAAAAAATACACCAGCTTTGTGTTGGTGTATTTTTTTTTTTTTTATATCTACTGGATTTCTCAATTATTTGATACCAAATATGAGTATTTATTTTTTTATCTCTTTAGATTATATGTGTTGAAAGGTACTTTAATGGGAACCTGTTAGGCTTATGTCTCTGCTTTTTCCCCCTGAAGTTCTCTAAGATTAGCTTTGTATGATTGACAGTTCAAAATAATCCACATTCATCTTATACCAGGCCTCGGTGCATTCCTGCTGTTTTGGCTCCACTGTAGCTTTTGTCTGATTGGCTGCCTGTCATAAAGCAAACGGTCGTCTTCTAAAGGTAACTTGTCTTCCTCTTCTTCTCAGCCAAACCCATCAGGCCTGGGCAGCAGCCAGTAGCATCCCCCACCCACCCCAACATTAACCGCAGTGGAGGAGGCTTCTACCAGAACAGCCAGACGGTGTCCATCAGAGGAGGGGGCAGCAGCAAGCCTGACAAGAAGTAAGTAGTTTGTAGTTGTTAGGTTTTTTTTTTGTTTTTGTTTTGTTTTTTCTCACACAGCAATTCTTAAAAGTACACAATAATGCATCAAAAGCCAGGCATGGTAGACTTTCATTAATATCCAGGAGTACTGAAGATATCCTGTTAAAAATCATTTTTATTTATTGTACAACTGAAAACTTAAGTTAAATGAAAGTAGTCTTCACTAATGCACTTCACTAATTTTTTTTTTTTTTATATATATGTTTTTATTATGTAGCTGAAGAGCAGCAGAACAGAAGGACGACACCACAGAAGAAGCCAATATCACCCCCCGCCCACCCCGACAGCCTGTCATTCCATTACAGCGAACAGACTCCTCGTCGCTGCTTTGGAACCACGAAGGAGTTTCTGAAATATAAATATATATATATAAATATTCCCAGCTTGTACAGCTCCAGCCCCCCCCACCATCACACCTCCACCTACCCACCCCCCTCTCCCCGACGTTCTAATCATGACTTATCTCTTTTTCTCTTACTGGATATAATAAAAGAAAGAAGACAACCGTTTTAATTTACAAAAAGCCAAGATAATATTCTTATTCAGGCAACCAAACGCAGTCTTGAGCGAAGCCTCGGCGAGCGAAGCCTCGGCGAGCGAAGCCTCGGCGAGCGAAACCGCAGCGCAACTCGAATGTGTAACTTCGGGTTTGTTGATTTTATTTAGTTTTTTTCTTTTTCGTTTTGCACAGTCTGTCGTCATCTGTCGTCGTGCGAGTAGTTCTGCACTGTGCCAAGCTGAATGTAACGGTCGAAAGATCCAAAAAATTCATAGAAATAAACGCCTAATACTAAAAAAGACCAAAAAAAACGAAGAGGAGACCCTACAGTGAGAAACAGCTTGACCCTATAAAGCTAACCTCTGTACAGTTCATTGTTATTATTATTATAATTATTATTATTATTATCATTGGCTGTTAACCACACTTTTCTCTGGGTAGATTTTACATGCTTCTTTACGGGAAAAACAAAAAGTACAAAAAAATGTTTTGAATTGACTAGATGGCGTCGAGCACTACTGTTCTGTCTGATCTTGTTGTACAGTTGTAAAATTGGCACTACTGCACACGTTTCCCTGGAGAGACGAGGCTAAACACAAGGATTAAACTAAAGCCAAGAAGACGTGCAACAGTGTACCGTAGGTGTATTTACCTAAATACCTGTGGAGGCCAACTGTTTTTAATATTAAGTTAAAAAAAAAAAAACTATACTCGTTAATGGTGGCTTCATGAGAAGGATGCAAAGAATGTAGAATGAAGGGAAAAGAGAGGAGGAGGATCCGGTTAACACAACAGACTTCCACCTTTTAGCATAGCCTATGCTACGTAGCTAAATGTACTGTTTTTACTTCTCTCAGTGGTTAATAATGACGTGTTAATGGAAGCTGTTTAATATCTCTCTGCACATTGGAGCACATAGATTGCAAGTGTATAGATGGAAATAGTACACAAAGCTCGTCCTGTCCTCGCTGGGTCCCTGTCGGTAACTCATCTCCTTTCACTCGTGTATTCAGGACCTCTTCTTTTTTGGTTCTTGTTACTAGTTTGACTGTTGAATCCCTACAGTGTCATGTTTTCTTTTTCAAGGGTGCCTCGCTTCTTCCGTCTTCCCTCCCCACACCTTATAGATTAAAAGACCCGTAACTGTATGCGCCCCCTTTCGGTTATAAATTAGCAGAGTGTCATGCTGGGTTTTATGTACTGTATCTCTTTCTTTGTTCCATAGATGGTGTAGATTTCTATTTCAAAATGGGGGGTAATGATGGGCGGGTGGAGTGGGATCGTTCAGTTGATGGGTTAAACCTTCGCCGCTGATCAGCCAGTCAGGGAGAGCGGGGTCTATAATTGCACAATGATCTTCTGTTATCATCTGGAGGAAGGGTCTATTTAACTAAATCTAACCAGGGGTGTAGATTTTTTGTGTTTTTGTTTTTTGTTGTTTTTTTTTTAGTGGGTTTTTTTAAATTGTTATTAATTTCCCATCACATCTTTATTTTAACCCTGTGAAGCCCCACTGCATTTGGCAAAGAGCTTGTTGTGATTGTAATCCCAGCATGAGAACACTAACATCTTGTGCAAGTGCAATATACTGTAAAATACACTGTATATCAGTCGGCCGGCAGGTGTGATCAGGGTGTGGTTGCAGTGGTAGTACCTGCCCAATCCTCCTTTTTGTGTTGCGTTTACTTTCACTGGTGTCAAGTCCTCGGTGTGTGCTCTCTTTCTTTGATCACTCTTTCTGAAAAGCTGAGACATGTTGCAGATCTTTTGTTTTGTTGTTTTATATAAACCTCATATTCTATATCAAATCTACTGCAGCTGCTGTAATGGAAAGTTAACAAAAGTGCACAGATTGTATAAAAAATCACATATGACCCAAAGTTTTGAGTTTGAAGCTTTTTAGGAAGACTGGTCAAAGAAACTTCTACTGAAAAAGGATACGTTTTGAGACTGGTGGAACGAATGTAGCTGGAAAACAAAAGGAGGGGAAATGATTTTGACTAAAACCTGTTATCTCCATACAGGAAAGCTGGGTGTAAAACAGCACTTCTTTAGCTGCACTCAGATAAAAACACTCCACATGTGGCTGTTTTTGAGTGGAGGAGGGGAAGAAAAGTTTTGACAACTGCTTGTTGTCGCTGAAGTGTATTCAGTTGTAATAATTACGCTCTGCAAGATGCAGGGAGGAGTAGCTCCCTGCATCTATGACAGGACAGTGTTTGGTGTCTTATGGAGACGGTTTATACCCTCTGTGTAACCTTCTAGATTTAGCTGAGACATTGCAGCGTGGACCTCAAGATGTTCATCCTTTGACCTCCCACCAAAACTGGACACGAAATGGGGAATAAATACAGCAAAAAGATAAATACGTGTGTTTACCTAAATTAAATTTTGCATTAATTCTAAATTAAAAGTGTAGCCACTTTTTTTTTATTACTGTGTAATAGTTGGTCAGTTTTTAAAAGGACAGTTTTGGGGCTCCATCAGTGGACAAGGTACTGGATCATTCCTGGAGAACTGGGGCACAAATGGCTGGGCTCTGATACGGACGGAGACGGGACGTTAATGAGATCAGTTTTGGATTGACTGCATGATGTAAATGTATGTGTGATTAAATAATTATGAGGAAAAAACTGCCCCCTCTGTGTTCTGTCATTTGACTCTTGTGAATGTGGAGATGGGTTTCACGTGGCTGTTTCCCTTTTACGTACATACACTGGTCGACTGTTTCTTTTTTTTTTTTGGTTTGTGGCTTTGTTCTGAGAACTCTCCTGGAATTAGAGATGGGGTCTTCTTTCATGCTTTAACACAGTCACTTCAAGCAAATCCAGGTACATATAAAATATTTCCCCAGTCTTAAGTGGAAGGATTTGCCACTGAGTGGCATCAGCCCACTAGATGGTTTTACAAAGTGTGAAAATTGCTGTGAGGAAAGCTGCAGTTAGCTAACACAGAAAGACAGCAACTCACACCTACAGCCATTTTAGAATCACCAATAAATCCAATTTACAGTCATGGCAAAAAGAAAGTACACCCTCTGTCAGTTCAGGTTTTACATATAATTAAAGAAGGGCGTAAAATTTGGTGAATACGACCTCAGATGAATGAAATACATGACGTATTGCATGAAGATGAAGCCAAAGTGCAGAAGCAGTACACCTTACTGCTTCATCGTGAATTAAGAGGACAAGTAGCATATGATCATTTGCAAGTGTGAGTGCCTTGACTAAAGCAAAGGTCTTGGCAGTTTGCTGGTCTGAAGCATTTAGGTGTGTGTAAACACAAGGCCAAGGAAGGAGGGACCAGCAGTGGTCTTAGAGAAGCAACTTGCTGCCCATTATATTTAAGAACTGACAGGGGATATACTAGCTGTCCTGATGACTGAACCCATCTTTGAAAAGTTTGCAAACACAGAAAAGTGCCAGTCGGCTGGTGGATTCAAACCTGTGTGCAGTGTGTCGCCCAGCACAACAACTAAAACAAGTGAAAATATAGGACATTTTCTCAGTATGCCGGGGATGTCCCAGCCACAGTGGGACACCTGATTCCCCCAGACTCAGGATGTTAAAGTTGTAAATAGTAAAATTCTATTGTTTCTTGGCCATTGATCAGTGGTCATGACAGTCTGCATGTTAATGATCATGAAACTGACCTCATGACCCCATTGTTAATCAGTGGTGCTAGGTTTGGTCTTTATGCAAATGTACTGTTTATAAAGTCGGGGAAACCTGCAGTCGGCTGAGACTAAAGAAGTCACTTTGATGAGTAATGAAACATTTCTCCCACTGAAAACACAATGTCCAGATCAGCAGAATCAACTTTCTGCGATACTGTATCTTTACAAAACCTTTGCAGTTTTTGTGCTTTTGTAGAGCCGCTGTGATCCATGCATACTAACAAACCTGTAATAACTCCTGAGGGAATACTGATGCTTTTTTCTTTTTAAATAGATGGTTCATTAAAGGCTCATTTGAAGTAAAATCTTGGCCAAATATGCCTCATAAACATCAATGACTTTGATTTCTGTTGTTGCCTCAAGCGATGGGTGTCAAACATGCAGCCTGGGGTCCAAAATGGCCCACTAAAGGGTTCAAACTGGCCAACTGGATGAGTTTGTCTTTATAGTGTTTATAAAAATAAGACAAAGTTAAAAGTAGTGTAAAACTTTTGATGTAGAACAGTGCAGCTTTTGGTCCCATTTGTAGATGGGCTGTGAATTGTAACACACAGGGAAAGGAATGGGCATTTTGTAAACCGTAAAATGATAGTTGATTGATTGTTCATTTGCTGGTCACTCACTTGACAGCACATTGGGCTGATTAGCACATTGTATGTGTGCCATGAACTAAAAGTTGACACAATTTCTTTTTCGTTTTAAAAGCAGACACAATTACGCACAATGTATTTGTAGTTCGCGGTCATCACCGCCAGGTTGCGCTAAATCCCCTTTTGTGTCCGGAACACCTGAAAGTTCGAACCATGTGTATAACTCACAAACAAGAGAAGAGGTCTCACTACGATAGCTAGTGATTAGTCATTAGCCACTTACAACTACAGCATTGCCTGATAAAATAGTGCTAAGTTTAATTAGTTTGTTAAATGTGCATGTACAAGACCGGTGACTATGGTAACTTACAATTAGTTAAACCGGAAAGTTTTATTTTTGTGTTTTCCGGAAAATATATAGAATAGCACGTCTTGTCTGCATAGACGATCTTTGCTTGAAGGTAGTTGCGAAGTTCTCGGGGCAAGCGACTCCACGGGAGCGAGCACTGCTGTAGATTACACACCGGCTAGGGAAGAGCAGGACGGACTGGAACGCCGCTCTCCGACAAACCTGACAAGTAGGGAAATAGTTTCACACGGTGGCCGGTCGACGGCGAAGTTTACTGGGAGTTTGACTACACCCGGGAGCACCGTCGTGTCGGTGTGTTCCCCCCTGGGAGCCAGCGGAGGAGGTAGGTGAAGGTGCGTATCTGTGCCTCAGTGCGGGACACTGAGGAATGCTGTAGCCCTGAAAGCTAATTAGCTAGCTAACGTTAGAGGGCAGATTAAAGCAAGACCGAGGAGACCTGCGAGCTGAAACTGAGAGTTAAGACCACAAAACGTGACGTTAAGGTGAAGGTTAAAGCTCTGTACCCACAAAAGAGCCCAAAGCTACTTTCAGACCTAATATATATAAAAAAAAAAAAATCAGAGAAACTTGAATCCTTTTGGGAATACCTTCTAAATTAGCGTTAAGAAAGCGCAGAAATCAGTGTTTACTTTTCTAAGGAGTGTCTTAAACAGATGTGTTATAGTACTTTTTGACTGGCAGGGTTAACCTTATTACCTGAGAGCAGTGAAATGGATCTACCATAGAGCAGAAATCCTCCCGCTCACACTTTTTTAAATATATGAAATAGTGATAAATGGCTTTTTAAAGTTGATCTGATCCTCGTGGTTTGAAAGCTGCCGTTTAAATCACAGTAGAACCTATAATCATCACCTCAACGACACAGTCCTATCATGAATATCATGAAAAGAACCTTTAATTGTTTCAAAAATGTTAATTCTCTTAAGTTTTGAGGTGATTTAGAAGCAGATGTGTCTATGCCATTAATGAAAGTCTTTCTGACCTTAAAACTAAACTTGTACTTTTTAAAGGGCATACGTGAGTGTCAGTTGAGCAAGTAGTTAGTTATTAGTTATTTGAGAGTTTGGATAATCTCCTCCAAATCTGCAATTTATGAAAATAAAGCAATATTTGTTTATGAAGTGAAAAAGCAACCAATTTAAAGAGACTGTTAAAGCATTTTTATTTTATTTACTTTATTTTTGTAATGATGGGCTTGAGAAAACCTTGCTGGTGACAGAGCTTCACGTGGTGAACAGAAGAGAGATTTTCTATAAAACCTCTTGGTCTTATTGTGGCCAGCATGCCTTTAACATGTTCTTTATTTGTGTTTTGCTTAAAATGTGTACTCTGATTTCTTTCTTTCTCGATTGAGGGAGCTGCAGCTGGCCGTAGTTGGTCGAAGTGGTTCAGGCTGTGGCTTTAACAGTGATAGGGTGGGGGGATGCCGTGGGGAGCTGATTTTGATTTCTCTAGAAGAAAATTATGGTGAGAGCCAGTGTCAAAGTAGGACAGCCAGTGCTGGATCCAGGCTGTTTGAGGCAGCTTGGGCCTATATTTGGTGGCTTCTTTGTGCACGGGGCACAGTGCACTGCTTTTGCTTGTTACAAATAGATACATCAAGAATTAGTTTTACACGTTAAATGGTCTATTTTATATCCTCACTTTTCTCCCACTCTGAAACTATTCTGACTTTTGTTTGTGAGCTGTTTGCTGGTAACTGTGTTTTTTCTGCTCCAAACAAGTGAAAAGCAAAATATAGATATGGGCAGTATAAACATAACATTGACACATAAATCTGGACACAAACAATTGCTTATTTGATAGAATTATGGTTCATTTGGAGATGTGTTTGTGGTCCTCTGGTGAATGTAACGCCAATATTTTTGGTTCCTACCGACTCCTGAGGGAAATGTTTGGCTCTGTAGCGAATAACATTTTTACTACTTTTTGTCCTACTGGGTTGCTTTGTGTGTCTGTGAGTTTGTTTTTCTTTTTGTGTTTTGTTTTTTGTTTTTTTTTGCTGCAGGTCAGTTAATGTGTGTGAGTTTTAGAGGGTTTTTTTTAAGCTGTTTGCAGTGGCCTGAAATGGGACATTTAAGAGCCAGAAAGCTAAACAAAGGGCTTGACAAGTAAGAGGAACCACATACATCATTTAGATGATAATTTAGATGATTAAAAAAAAAACATGATCGCAGTAAAGATCACATCCCAGGCAGATCACATCCCAGCAAACTAAATGTGGAGCAAAGAGTATGCTTGCATGAGACAAGTAACTGATGCTGAGAGTTCATTGGCAGTTTTTATATCATGCAGAAATGTGGATGATTCGTACGCATTTGTAACCCTTTCGATACATACAAGTGTAAATGACCCCCGTGTGGGGGTTGTGAGACAAAATTCATGCTGCCAGCTTTGCAGCTCCACAAATGTAAGCTGTGTCCATCATCTGGGCTTCCTCCTTATTCCTTCCTTAATATGTTAGCCTGCTGTTATTGTACAATGGTAAAATTAACATCAACACAACCACAGTGTTTCCACATCTGCAGCTGAGCACTCACTGACTTTCCCCAGCAGAAAAACATTTCAGGATGCAGCAGCAGCTTATTTGATTCATCGAAGCACGTGCTTGTGAGTCCTCAAACATTACACACAAATCACTGCACACATTTGTTAATCTTAGCGTACGCTGGTGGATAATGTCGTATGCATTTGTAACCCTTATGAGACATATTTCTCTCCATATTATATATCCAACTTAAAAACCACAAACAAGATGGTTTGTTATAATCAGTATTTTTTTATTTTAATGTATATTTCTCACATTTCCCCTTCCATTTATTAAGGATAAATGGAAGCTCTGATTTGTTTTCATGGCCTCATTCATGCCCATTTTTCCTCCTCCAGTGACTGTTAAAACTCTTAAAGTTGTTCATTTTCATAGTGTAGAATACACCCGTTATTACCACATCTTTTTGAGCCACACGATGCTTGTGAGGCTGACGGGATAATGATAATGATATTTCTTTGTTCATTAATAAGAGAAAAGCAAATGACCAAAGCTATAAAAATAAATGTCCAACAGCAAAGACTTGAATTGAATTGAACACACATTACTTAAGATGTGGGTTGAAGCTCTGGCTTATTACACCTACCTTTTTTTTTATATACAGCATAGTCTAAATGGCAAGTCATTTATAGCAAGATTTCATCTCTAAAAGAGCAAAGAAAACATATTGAAAGTAAATGTGTTGGCTTTTGTTTAAATATAAAAGATCAGGGGGAGGGGGGGGGTGCACAGTCACCCTAATCATATTTAAAGGCATGGAAGCAGAAACATTATCACACACAACTTGCTGTCAGAAGTTTAGACCATGATGCTGAATAAATTGAGTAACTTATGTTTCTGAAAAGTTCATGTTCTCAGCCTGTATTAGTGCTTAAATGAGGAAAGCGCGGCTGATTGCCATCTCTCCCCAACCCCGTTCCCTTTAAATACCTCCACAATGGGAATTTGCTTTCTCTGATGAAAATAACTTAAACTAATCACCAGTGGCCCGGCTCTGAATCAACAGTCTGAACTTGGCTAACAAGAGTCATGTGAGACTCGATGCAGAGGAATTTCGCCGCTGCTGCTGCTGCTGCTGCTGCTGCTGGTGCTGCTGCTGGTGCTGCTGCTGGTGCTGCTGCTGGTGCTGCTGCTGGTGCTTCACTCGTCCCTGTTTCAGTTGAAATATTTAATGTGCTCACAATGAGAGAGTATTTGCAGTGTGCTGATTTCTGTTTTGCTGAGGCAAGAGAAACTGTGAGGGTGTGTTTCCTGCATGTGCTGACAGCAGCGGATTTTTAAACATACATATCAGTTCCAACACTTCCACACACTTCAGCCAAGGTCCTGCTTTCATGGGACCCACCCATCCACTCTGTCTCCCACTGCAAATCTTATTACCATCACTCTGAATTAAGGGTCGTCTTCTGATTTTGCTGATTGGACTCTGAGAAGATTTGTTTGCTAAATAGCAGCACTGAAGCTGTAGCTTAATCTTAGTGGGGGATAAGTGAAAGAGACAACAACCCCCAGGTACTTAATCTTCCAAAGACCTTTCCATATGACGAATTGGAGCATTAAGTTGATTGTCTGTTTTGTTTGTAGTCTTCCTCATTTTAATTCAAAGGGTATTTTCAGAATCAACATGCCAGACTCTCTCATAGAGGGATTGCATTTTTGACACCTTTTTCATAATTAATCATCACTTTTTTTAAAGCTACATGTTAAAAAGGAACCCACAAACTTTAAATGATTTGTTGGTTTTTACATGTTTAGCATTGTATGACTTGAGGTTTACCTAACTTAGTAATTAATAGCTGTACTCTAGTTTAAAATCAGTCTTAAATTTAAAAACAGTGAGAAGGAAACATTCAAAGGTATGTTTTTTCTGAATCAAAATTGTTCTTTCAAGGGTCACTTGGCATATAAGGCCTCAGTGCCACAGGCATAGAGACTGATTAATGAACCTGTTGCAATCTCTGGTTTCTACAGAATTGCTGAGGTCATCTTTAGTTTCCACGGAAGATGGCGACTCTTCAACTACCCACCTAGCAGTAGTGAAGCTTGAAAAAGTGTGATGCAAACTGGAAATGGAGGTGGTTTGCCTTCAGAGTCAAATTTGTGTCCTAAAGCTGCATCAAGGGTGTTTCAAAAGGCAAAACTTTTACTCTGAAGGTGAATGGTCTCCATTTTTGGTTTGTGTTGCACTTTTACAAGTTTCACTACTGCTTGTTGAGTAGTTGACAAGCTTTGCGGACAAAATAGCGTCTTCTACGCAAGAGGTACTTTTTTGGTACCTTGGCTGAGGTTCCAAGTGAGCCGAGTCATGAGAACGACTTCTTCTCAAAACTCAAACTGCCATTTTCAAAACCTAGCAACGAGGGAAATGGCTGCACAAAAACCAACACCGTGGTCTCTGAGTCTGACAAAAAGCCACAGAAAGCGCAGCAGGTATACCACTGCCACGACGTCATGGGACTTTTGGTCACATTGCTACAATGACCCCAAGCACATTAAGGTGGTACTCAGTTGTAATGGAATAAGACCAAAACCAAGTCGAGTAGAGTAAAATCTGAGTAGGTACTAGTGGAAAACAAGCATTTGACTGGTTCACATATATAAGACAAAGAGTCTGTTGTCTAAATTTGTTCCTGTTATTTCTGGCTGATTATGAGCAAAAATGTGTTTCATGCTTGAGTAAATTAAACCTCACATTGGAAAAACAAACTGGTTGAGATTAGATTTTTATGACCCATGTGGTTTTTCTTTGAGGGAAGACCAAAACCCTGCAAGGGGTGGAGGGATGGCAGGAAATTAAATCTCATCTCACTGTCTTGAGTCCCCAAACCTTCCAGCCACTGTGATTATTTCACTGGGCAAACGATGCTTGTAGAGCCCCTTAATATTAGCAGGTTAGGCACGCCATTTGCTCAGTTATTCCCAGAAAGGCGGTCGTGCATCTGAACTCTGTGCAGACTACAGAGTTTGTTTTTTTTTATCTGACTCCTGTTTATTGTTGACTGTTTATTGTTCTTTCTTTTTTTTTTTCTTCCTCTCCACTCTCTCCAGCCATAACTGGTTGTGCCAGGTTGACTGCCCACCCTGAGTTTGTTTTTTTTCCCTTCACCACTATCACCAAAGGCTTGCCCATTAAGGAATTCTTAGCTACACTATATATACTCTGGGTTTTTCCAGCAAATCTTGACTTTCCCCCAAAGAGTTTTTGACCTTCCCCCAAGGAAAAATCTTCAGCATTGTAATAAAAATATTTTGTTAGCAGTTAATTTAAGTGGGTTTTTATTATTAAAATCCATATTTTTGGACCCAAATGACAGGAAAATGCATAGATTTATGATAAGTATGTTAACAAAGACACTTTGTAAACCTACAAAAGACCATTTTGAGCTGGGAAAAGCTCTCAAAAACTAATGGACAAAAGCACTGTTAAGCTTCCTGCCTTTTGATTTCCTTATTAAAGAAATAGGTTTAAATTAAATACTTTTAAAACTATATTTTTATTAGTGTTCTACCACATTTGGTTTCATCATATTTTTCCTTGACTACAAGCACTGTTTCTTATTTAAAAAATAAAATAGAAAATAGTGATATAAAGAATTTCTAGCCACTCGACTCCATGCCTTCAGCATGAGGGTTGAGGATGTTAACAAGGAAAGCTGCCACTACTACTCATGCTATAACCATCACACAGTCTTATTCCTCGCTACTCTGCTGTTATTCAGTGAATAGCTGTGAATTAGCACCAGATGCAGTGTTTTATTTTCATTTGGCTAATGGACTTTCTGTTCAGCTGATAGATTCGGTGAGATTTCCCTCAGTACTTGTTAGCCTGAACCCTCGAGTTAATCTGTGGCGATATTATCCCACCAGTCACTGCATCAGCAGTAATCCCAGCACTGCTCGCCTAATCACAGATATTTATTAAGCTAATGCACGACCAAAGGTAAACAGAAGCGCAATGCTATTATTAGGTAATAGCTGCCAACCGCGCATTTAATGTTCAGCTGCAGCTTTAATGGTGACACCCAGTGGAAACTACTTTTTGATTAATCAAGTGGTTTTAAAATAGCGTAGCTCATGCTGGTTAATGTGTGTGGGGATATGCTCATTAAGCATTCTCAGGACACTCGTACAACCACAACAGTCTTCACAGTGACCACTATTTGTTGTGCGCTTTGTCTGGTGCCCACTCCAATGTTTTCACAGAATTCGTGGGGTTATATCACCAGCTGCAGATGGTGGCCTCGCTATAGTTTCATGGATCATGGGTGTCTCTTAAGTGAATCTGCATGTGTTGTGCAGCGATGCTCATCATTCATCATGAACTCAAGACGAGAGGAAACACACAGAGGTGTGTTGGTTACTATCGTAGAGATGCAAATTTCTCCCCACCTTCTTTTTTTCTTGGTATGTATGTGTGCTTTTTGTTTTTCTTTTGTGAGTGTGTGTGTGTGTGTGCGCGCGCATGTGTTTGTGGAGGTTGCCGTTAGTTTAACGACATTTCCTTAACTGCCCCAGTGGCTTACATGGACCATAGGACTTTGATATTGAAGAGAAATTAGTGCTGCTGGGTTAAAAAAATAGCAACAATGCACTCTTTGTCTTTGGAGGCATATTCTTGGTTTGATAATGATGTAACTCACTGATAATTTTGTAGGATTGCAGTTATGACTGTCATTGTAATATCCTGCTGCTCATTCTGCAGTAGCCTGTATCGTCGTCAAGTGAGTCTGCTTGACTATCGCACTTTGTTTGAAATTGTTTCACGGCTGACATTACAGGTCCTTTAACCACCTCGTGGTTTTGGATGCCTGGGGACAGTAGACTAATTTGATTTGGACTATTTCATTAAACAGGAAGGAATGAGTTGCGATGATTTTTTTTCATACTTTATTTAATACTGCAAATATAAACACTGAGGTCCCAGTGGCTTTAGTATTTTAATTATTACCAGAGATACAACTGATTGGTATCTTGTTTCTTTTCATCAGTTACCAAGCTCAGGCTTAGTTTATGTGCAGATCTAAAGTTTCAAAAGCAAAAAAAAAAAGTTGGAGTTTTAAAAATAAAATCTATATTCCTTTTCTTTCAAGTGTTAGTTTTGTGTAAGTGACTGGCATTTTTGCTTAAAATATAAAGAAAATTACAAAAAGAATAGATCGTCTTTCTTCTCATAAAAGAACTGCGTGTTAGTCTAATTGATGGTGAATGGTTGTCTGTCTTACAGTGATAGATTGGCGACCTGTCCAGGGCGTACCCCGGTCGTTGTCCCGTGGCAGCTGGGATAGCTTAAAGTTTATAGGTCTCTAAATGTCTCTTTGCTTTATCAAGTTTGCCAACATTTGAGAAACATTATACCCAGTTGAATATTTGTGACCTAGTAAATTTGTGCAGTCTGCAACAATTTGTCATTGTAGTTATTGCATTTTTACATTGTACATATGAGGCATTCAGCTGACACTTGTCTCCTAAAGTGACTAGTCAGAACTTTAGAAGTCATTTTTGTCATGTACCGGAGGCAGAAAGAGAGAGCTGAGACTAAATCTCTTTTTGTAGTGAGAGTTGACTTGAGGGCAGCCTAAGATTGTAGTTTCTTTGAACTATTAAACTTATTTGATCATAATATATTTATTTTCCTGTTAATTTGAAAATCTAAACAGCTGAGGTACCTCTTTCTATCAAAATAGGCCATGCTCAGTCGTACCCTGAAGCAGTAAAGTCCAACCAGGAAACACTAATTTTATTTAATCTAATAGTTTTGGTGTATTATTGTTTAACTCAAGGTTGGCCACGAAGTTCACTATTGATAAGATGTTTCTTTTAATATAAGCCTTGACTCCATTAAATAAGTCATATTGGCGTTGGTGATGTTTTTGTCTTTGTTGTTGTTTTTTAAAAAGTGTACTACAGCATCACATCATTGTGTAAGAGAGTGTGCGCACATGCGTGTGACTTCAACAGGAAACTATGTGTGTGACTTAGCTAATCCAAGATGCCCTAATAGCTGCTGGACAAGCTGTCCTTAGTAAGGAGGAAGAAATAGAGTAAGAGATAAAAACACAGTAAGTGGGAGAAAGCAGCGTGACTCATGTTACTGTCTCCACTTCTTCCGTCTTATCTTACGTGCGGCTTTGAAGCTCTGAGCTGGACGGTACATTCACCCTTGAAGAGGATTAAATCTTCTCAGTTTATATCTTATTTGTTTGTTCTGATTGGGTTAGCATGTGAGTGTCAGGCTTTCAATGGCTTTCTTATTTTTGTCTTTATTTTGATTAAATGAGAGGAGAAGGGAATAAGTATTTTCTGACTTAACTATACCTCAAGATTTTTTTTTTAATGGTTTTAATGTTCATTGTTAGTTTTGATTTAAGCTTATTTCTTCAAGTTATTTTCTCTCATACATAAAAACACAACTTTTTTCATTTTTCCTTAAAATTGTTAGTTGAAAACATGTTGTTTTAATGACAATTTAAAAAGAAATTCATACGATACCTTTAGTTAGAAAGCCATTCAAAGTTTTTATTCATTTTATTGTTTCAAAGGTTACTAATACAGAAAAAGTAAGTAATAAGAAGAGCGTTTCTCTATACATACACTTTAATTAGGTGGCACAATCAGGAATATTTAGGTATGCCACATTATATTTGGTGAGAAAGTCTACCACCTCTGCGGGCAGGTCCCTGTAATGGTGGTCCCAGAAAGTGTTTGGCTGCCTCTCCAGAAAGACTTAAGTCTAACTCCACCACCTTGGACTATAGCTGCTAGTTGCTGCCACATAGACTTTGTTAAGCTGCAGTCCAAGAGAGTGGACAGAGTACATTTTCAGGAAAAAAAACTCACTAATGAGACAACTGAGATTATGATTATATTACTCCATTTAAAGGTTATAAAGTATTTTGCAGAGATGATCCTTATTGACATTGTTATTTAATAATTAATTTCAATCTTTGGGGAAAAATGGAAAAACTTCACAGGTGATAACTTAGTTAGATGTTATACATACTGGAACATTAGAACATTGTGGCACCCGAGGTGTATATATAATAAGTACAATAGCAGAGTTATTCACACTGAAATTAAATGTGTATTTAATATATTCTCTTTGTTTTTTCAAAGGTCTACTGATGAAGACATGGTAATAAATATTTTTCTTTTGGGGTGAACAGCCTGGTGGATAGTAAGAGGCATCATGGCAGATCTGCCTATTGCCCCGGGCCAGATCTACATCGAGGTAGAATACGACTATGAGTATAAGTTTAAAGACCGGCTCATTAAGATCCAGCAGGGGGAATGCTACATGCTAGTCAAGAAAAGTAATGAGGATTGGTGGCAGGTGAAAAAAGAGGAGGCGTCTAAAGCTTTTTATGTACCTGCTCAATATGTCCGAGAAGTCCGCAAAGCACTCATGCCACCCCCTAAACCAATCCTCCATCTTCCGAGTGCTACTGGTAATCCATCTTCACAAAGTGCAGGTGCACGCTGGGTAAAACCAAACAATCTGGATCTGGGACTCAACAATCATCCCGCTGAGAACCTTCACAGAAATGAGTCCAACTATCAGCGCTCCCCTTCAGCACAAACTGGAAACACGGCTAAATTCACTCCCCCGATTCAGCGCAGGGACAATAACCACCATCATGCCCCCACCTTTCCCACTGACCATGACAAAGCTCTCGCTGAAGCTCTCCATGGTGGTGTCCCACCACCCCCTTACAAAGGTGGGTCCAGCACCCTGCCGCGCAGTCGAGCCAGATCCCCAGAACTGGTCAGAGCGCCACTGGACGTGGACACCACCCAGTACTGTGACTCTGCGGGTGAAGATAGACGTACAAATGACTCTGAGTCTGGAGACGAACTGAGCAGCTCTTCCACTGAACATCTCCAGGTAACATCAAAGCTTTTTGTGTGTGTGTGTGTGTGTGTGTGTGTGTGTGTGTGTGTGTGTTAATGTTGGCGGTGATGTATACAAGAATTTTGGGGGGGACGACATTGTGGAATAGGACTTTTGTTTCACTTTTATTAAATTATAGCCAATACTCACATATTGGATATATCAGATCCAGAGCAACTTTTGTTTCTTGTTCCTTGATTACGGCCTTAGAACGAATGTAGCAACTATTTTTGTTATTTTAGGTGTTTGTGAAACTTTTCACATCAAGTGTTTAATATATGCAGACTATTTCTGAGCAGATGCTATTAGGTTTGCTAGTATATCAATTATCCTACTTTCTTCATAAAGTGTTATGAAGAACTTGAAAAGGGAACCTGAACCTGCCACACCCTGCTACAGAGCAGTATCTGAGCCCTCGTTTATACTCTGTTGTGGACATAGACACGGGCAGCTGGCGACATAATGGCTAAGTAGGCATTCCTGTTATTTTCCACTTCAAGCACAAAAACAAAGCAACGTGTATTGGTGCACTGCAGTGCAACGTCACATGATAACAAAAAACTGGCTGGCACTTGGACGTTGTCACAGACCTTCTTGGTCACTGTCCAAAGTGTGATGAATTTACATCACTCTGACCCGAGTGGACTTGTGGTCGCAGAAAGTTTAAATGCCTAAATGATTCATATGCAGCACAGAGATTCGGTTTTCAGATAAAAAATCAGACCAGTATTCTGTTAAACAGAAATGGGTCATAAAGTGTTTTAGTTTTAAACTGTTGGTATGCCCAAATGACTAACATTAACATTAATTTGTTCAGTGTCAGCTGATTTTTGCCTCTAAACTTTATTTTGGATAACCTAATAATCTTTACCTGTCCTGGATTACTTAAACTTGTTCAAAACCTTTAATGTGTTCTGATAGCTTCAAAGATTAAAGACAAAGCCAAGTCCCAAAAGAAAATTTTGCCCTCTTTTTTT